ATAGTGAAAGCGTAGACGAAAAAATCTGAATGAAAAAATTTTTGTTTTGCTCCAGAGAACTTTCTGAACTCACTCCATCCTGAACTATTTCGTGTATGTTTCGGTATGCTAATGATACATTTGCACAGGCAAATTTGATTTAGCTCATTAAATTCACTGCATGAGAGAATTTGCTGGTCTTCGTCTTCCTGATTGCCTTTCCCTTTAGTCCTCCCTCTCTCTCCCGCCCTTTCACCGTCTCTTAGTCCCTCCCCCCGCCCCGTTCCCCCGCGTCCCCTCCATCCCGTGCTTCATAGGTTCCTCATTAGTTCACCGCGAGATGAAAGAAAAGCAAAACTTAGATGATATGCAGCAAAAATAAATCGCGTGGGTGGTGTTTCGTTTCTTGTTTGACGTCAGTGCGTCCCGGGACTACTAGGACCGAATAATCCATATGATGACGCCAGTTCCCTGGCCGTGCTCTTTATTTGAGCGTATTATTACGCATATATTATTCTTGTAAATCAGAAATATGCTCACCCCTCCCCCTTTGCGGCCCCCGTAATCCTACTTTGTATAGTTTATAAAACCATTAGTATCGCTGGGACGATCGGTGTGGCGCTATAAGCGGAACCCAGCTGCGTCAGCTTCCTTAACTCAGAATTTCTGGCCTCCGTTTGCGATTCCCACCTTGCCTCCTCCCTTTCTATGTCATCTCTTCAAACCGGCAGTTACCAAAATTCGGTTAGATTGGAGGACGGGTTACGACGTCTGAGAGGTGAAGGTGGGGAAGGGAGGGGAAAGAAGAGAGGATGAGCCAAGGGTGGCAATTTAACCTGCGGGAAGGAAGGGACGAGATGGGATTATAGACTGAAAAGGAACTGAAACTTTGCTTGGAGGTAGTTTGAATGAGGGGCTGGGTTTTTTGTGGTGGAGGAGGGGAGGGGGAGGGGGAGCGACAGTACTGGGTTTTTTATGCGCTAGCAGAGAAAAATTGATGCGGGGGGGGGATCATTTTTTAACGAGATACCTAGACCTTACGTTGGCAAAAAATCCGATACTACGGTTTTCGTGGGTCGAACTGGAACCAGAAAATAAATGCTCATTACGCGACGCAGTCAAGCCGAATTTTTATTAGTAATTGCTTCCAGACTTACCAAGTGTAAGGCTGTCGATGTTACCTAATTAGATAAATTGTGAGCCTAACGGAGCTATGCCGGTTTGGGTTTTTCACTTTAGTTTTTGATCCCTCCCCCCGTGCCCCTCCGTTCACCATTTACATGAGGTATAATCGGTTTTTTTTGATTCTTTTTTTGACGAGTACCATTCATTAATATGTCACATCCACCGGTGTTATCTAAGCAAGCAGAATGCAGGGCCGAGTGAATTCTATTGCTTTGTAGAAACTGAGAATACCTCTCTCTTCTTACACCATTTTGTTCATCAGTAATGAGAAAATCACGAAGGTTTAAACGAAGTTGAACCGCCGAAACTCCTCCACAATAAACGTTTTTGTATGTTTGACAAATGTTCGTCGCTGCCGTACGGGTCTTTTATATTTTTTTGTTTTAAAATTTCAGTTTTGCACTTTTCTAAAATCTCAAAATGCGCCAAAAAATGATTTACATCTGCTGCTCAGATCTCGCTGCCGCCTAACCGCACGCGATAGATTTATCTGATAAAGCGTTTACCATCGCCTCTGTTTGTGTCGTTGCTCGCGAATTTTTTTGTGATTTCGCTCATCCCCCGAGCATTTGTGTTTCATTGCCCATGTGGAACTGATCATCAGTACCAGCAAATTTCTTTGCTTGCAGCGATCATCGATAGTTGATCTTCATTGCACTGTTATCATCCGGCGCATGCTTTCCGCGACTAGAAACGCATGTTAACCATCATAATGTCCATTAAAAAAGTTGCCCATTCTCTTCTCAGAGATTTCTTGGAAAAACTGAATAATTTTGAGAGGAAAGAGCAGTTTTACTAAAAATTACCGTTAAGCGATCAGTCATTTAGCGATTCATTCGATCAGTCAGTCATTTGATCACTCTTTAACTAAGTAGATGTTAGTTGTAGCAAAATTTCAAAAAAAGACGGTAAGATACTTTTTGCGGGAAGAAGTACTTTTGCTAGATAGCTCATAAGCAGTTAATGATTCAATCGATCAGTCAGTCTGATTCGATCAATCAGTCGCCCGTCAGTTTCATGTTAGAAACATGTTCGAAAAAGATAAATGTCATAGTTGTCGGAGTTGAGGAGCTTGCTTCGGAGGGAGAGGGGCTAGGGAAGGAGGAAGGGGAGGGGGAGGGGGGTCGGTGCGAAGTGTAAGTGCTTGCTTGCTGGCAGCTGGCGTTTCTTTCTACTGCTGTTGCGCCACCGCCACCATCATCGTCGTCGCCGATCAGCTGGAATCAAAAACCGACTTCGGACCGGTTTTCATCCAGCGGCGGCACGGTAGCATCAGCAGCAGCAGCACTTCCATGTCTCTGTTCCTCTGCCGCTTCGCTGCTATCGCTATCCATGAAGAAGCAGTAGCAGCAGAAGAGGCTCTGGAAAGGGGAGGGCGAAGGTGAGGGTTCGTTCCAGCAGGCACTGAGAGCAGCAGCAACAGCAGCATCCTGTGCTCTTAAGACAGTCATACTTCCAACTTTTCAGGTTCCCTCAAAAACTTCCCACTTAGGTTTTTTCTTTTTGCCTGCGTCGATTGTTTTGGTGGAAAAAGTGTCGGCAAATGTCATTGTTCATCTTTTGTATTTTCCCACATAAGAAGCAGTAACATATGGATGCGAGACGTGGTCATTGACGAAAGCAGAAGAGCGAACGTTTGTTGTAATATCGAGAGAGTGATGGCGCGAAAAGTGCTGGGCGAATCCCCTACGTGACCACTATAAACAGTCAGAATCTCTGCCAGGTGGGCAACATGCGGAACTGCGTGAAAAAAAAATGAAATTTGAAAGACAACAAATGAGGTTCGCCTTGCTGCTGCTGATCAGTGGGCGTTGCATGTACTGGTGGAAATAAGCGAACACTT